CGCTAGGGCGGGCACGGGCGAAGGGGCCACGAGGGCGGGCACGGGGCCGGCTAGGACGGGCGCTAGGGCCGAGGGGAGGGGCCGCTAGGGCTAGCGTGGGGAGGCCGGGAGGGCAGGCGCTAGGGCGGGTACGAGGGGCCGCTAGGGCGAGCGCGGGGAGGCCGCTAGAGCGAGCGCTAGGGCGGGCACGAGGGGCCGCTAGGGCGGGGCGCTAGGGCGGGCACGGGGCCGACTAGGACGGGTGCTAGGACGGGCACGGGCGAAGGGGCTGCGAGGGCGGGCACGGGGCCGGCTAGGACGGGCACTAGGGCGGGCACGGGCGAAGGGGCCGCGAGGGCGAGCACGGGGCTGTCTAGGACGGGCGCTAGGGCCGAGGGGAGGGGCCGCTAGGGCTAGTGCGGGGAGGCCGCGAGGGCAGGCGCTAGGGCGGGTACGAGGGGCCGCTAGGGCGAGCGCGGGGAGGCCGCTAGAGCAAGCGCTAGGGCGGGCACGAGGGGCCGCTAGGGCGGGGCGCTAGGGCGGGCACGAGGGGCCGCTAGGGCAGGGCGCTAGGGCGGGCACGGGGCCGACTAGGACGGGTGCTAGGACGGGCACGGGCGAAGGGGCCGCGAGGGCAGGCACGGGGCCGGCTAGGACGGGCGCTAGGGCGGGCATGGGCGAAGGGGCCGCGAGGGCGGGCACGGGGCCGGCTAGGACGGGCGCTAGGGCGGGCACGGAAGCGTGGGTGGGCGGGGACCTACCTACTGCTGATACCATCTTAAAACTGAATGAATGACTAGAGAGAGAGAGTACAGGTGAATATATCTAAGTGTTGTACCCTCTAAGTGGTGACCCTATACAGTCTATGCAAACATAAGAGATACACATGTTTGACAAAAAGTGCCAGTCAGACGCGTCTAGGGGGGAAGCCAAGGAAGACACAGGGGACAGTGCGGGCAATGAGCTTGTCCGTGCCAGAGGCACGAACGTGAGCAAGGCAGCCCTAGACGTGGAACGCAGACGCATAACCAGTGAACCCGGTCCTGAAAAGGCTCGGCGAAAGCTGCGGCCGCTAGGAGTGCAGCCATATATTAAGCTGGTGAGCGGCGTAGCGAACAGCGAACGGCCACAGAAAATGGGGTGCACCGGCATGAATCACGGAGGTATGAGCCACCTCCATAACCAAGCCAATGTGGCAGCTCAGCGATATCATTTTTCTGGGGGGAGTCTGGCTAGGTGTACGACTGGGTGATGCCCTCTGCACAACAGAACTGGACAAGCCGACCGGAGGCAAACTCGCCACCATGGCCGGAGTGGAGACATAGCACGGGGAGGCCGCGGTTGACTCGCGGAGCTACAACCCACGGGATGAGAAGGTTGGGCACGTCAGCCTTATGCTCCAAGGGAAACACCATGGTGTAGCGCGTGTAGTCGTCCACAAGCACTAGAAAGTAGAGCTCTCAACGCGGCCCGGGGACGGGGGCTGGGCCCCAGACGTCCACGTGCAAGGTTTAGAGAGGCGCAGTGGTGGAGCGAAGCGAGGAGAAGTGAGGAGCAAGGCGTAACCGACCCTTGACACAGGGCATGCACGGCGGCACAAGCAAGGTAGGGAGGGCAGGGAGCGACGCAGGGAGACCTAGGACAAGACCATGCTAGGACATGTGACGCAGACGTGGGAGTGTGGGGTGACCTAGGCGGCGGTGCCACAGAAGCGACTGGTGACAGAGCGGCCGACACGAGCAGGCCGCAGCAACCTTGGTAGACGCAGGCACCGAGGGGGACGCCCTCACCAAGGGGGGGTCAGCCAGGGCGACAGTGGCAGGGGCAGCAAGCGGCGTGAGTACAGTGTGGTTGCAGAAAAAGCAGGCGGACGCTCCAGAGTCGAGCGTGAACGAGAGCGAAGTAGTAGCGGCAGCCGACGGAGGGGCTAGCATGGAGCCTAGGCTAAACACGGCAGGGGGTCCTACGCCTGACGTAGCAAGGGAACCTAGACTACACACAGGGGGCACACCTACACTAGGCAACATAGGATAGTATGATCCGGTACCGCGGCCACCACCACCAGAGGCGTGGGGCCAGCCCTGCGGGAGGAGGCCGCACTGCTGCTGCTGCGACTGTTGTTGCTATGGGGCACCAGCCCCCGTCCCCTCGTCTAAACCACCGTCCCTGCCCCCACCCCCACCACCCCCACCACCCATCGCCCCGCCACGCCCCCCCTTGGGGCGGTGGCCCCTAACCTGACGCGGCTGCGCTGAGGCTGCAGCAGCGGTCTCAGCAGCAGGGGCTGTCTCAGCGAGAGCGGCAGAAACGTAAGCGTAAGTTCTTTGGGAGGGAGCACAGCCCTGAAAGATAGGGTCCACCGCACTGTCGCAACCACTTCCCCGTGCACCTTCTATGATTTTTTTGCGGCAATCGCCAAGTCAGCCCCTGCTAGTGAGACCGCTGCTGCGGCCTTAGTGCAGCCGTACCAGGGTTAGGGCCACCGCACCTAGGGGGGGCATGGCAGAGGGAAGGGTGGTGGGGGTGGTGGAGGTGGGGGCGGGGACGGTGGCTCAGACGAGGGGACCGAGGTTGGTGCTCCGGAGCAGCCGCAACATCAGCAGCAATAGCCTCCCCGACTGGCCCAGTTTGGTACACCGCCGTGTGCCTGTCTTTGAGATGGATATGGATCAGATTTGCTCTGCTTTGCATGCCATGTATGTTGATAACTCTAGTGTTACCGGATCTTATTGCCCTGCATTGCCTAGTGTAGGTGTGCCTCCTGTGTGTAGTCTAGGATCCCTTGCTGCGTCAGGAGTAGGACCCCCTAACTTGTTTAGCCTAGACTCCACGCTAGCCCCTCCGCCGCCTACCGCTACCGCTTCGCTCTCTTTCACGCTTGACTCTGGTGTGTCTGCCTTCTTCTTCCGTGACCACACTGCACTCACGGCGCTTCCGCCCCTGCCGCTGTCGCACTTGCTGACTCCCCCTTAGGTCCGGTAGTTGCCCATACCTCGGCGTCACCACTACGTTCCCTGGACACGAGCTGTGCGCGGTCTCTACCGAGGCCGCCACAAGTGCCCCCCTCACCACATTCCTCCGAGACCCGGTGTCTGGCCTGTTTACGCTCGACACCGCGTCCCCCTTGGTGAGGGCGTCCACCCAGGTGCCTGTTGTGTGATGTCATCATATGCTATCACATTCTGTCTGCCTCCCATCCCATGTTTTTTCAACTTGCATGTGTGGTTTGAATGTGCAAGCATTTGTGTGTGGTGTGTTCTGGAGTTTGGGAATGTGTTTTGTGTTATTCTGTCTGAGCAGGTATTTGTGATGATAGATCTTGAGAAGATCTTTCCGACGCAACAAGAATCGCTTCAATCGGAGCAAGAACGCGAAAGCTATGAAGATTCAAAGTTCATGAGCTTGCGTTACAATTGCGGCGGTTACTAAGTGAAGTTGTGGGGTGACTTTATATGGAGTTGGGACCTTTGGGGTTGGGGAAACTTGTCACTCTACTGTAACAGCTGCAAATTGGTTGGGAACAACCAAGCTAGGTTGGCAAGGGTGGCCAACTTGGATGGATTGGTTGGGAAGGGACAAATGTCAAAGTTGGGGTTCCTATAGGGAGGGAATCTTTGTGCTTATGGGGTTTCCTTGGTTGGGGACTCTCTTGGGACCTTCCCTCTCATCCCTCTCTTCCTATCCCAACCTTTCTCTTGCTCCTTCTAATTCCTTGTGAGATTCTTGAACTTTGATTGAACTCTTGAGATTGAGTTAAGTTCTCCTCCTACAGCTTACCCCCTAGTGCGTCGAAAGCCATAGCGTCGCGAATACTTCATCAATCAACGTGATTCAAATTGGGAACGGTAGCTGAGATCAAGAGCTACAACATATCCAAGTTTCGCGACATTCCAACGGCTAGTGTTTTGTCGACGTCGTTTCTTGTGAAGACGACTTTTCTGTCCAGAATTTCGGATTTATATTTTGAGTAATTCTAGCTCCTAAGTTCACCTAGACTCTGTCCTTAATCCTAACAAGTGGTATCAGAGCTGTATTAAGGACGTTGAGAGGAGTCTACAGAAGTGTGAAGACCCTTCTAGACCCACCATGGCCTGTGGGTGTGCCTAAGTGGTGTTCTAAAGGTTGGATGTGTCTTCCGCTAAGGGAAACTCTGCCGAAATTTCGTGGACGCCGACACTTGTGAAAATATCGAGGGAGCTGAGTGTGGACAGCAAAGGGGGGCTGAAATTCGTCATTTCTCAAGGAGAAGATGAATGAGAGAGGAGGAGATGCTAATGGAAGAGGAGCTGTAGCTGAGAAGACAAGTGAGCCGCCGCCATCAAAAGTTGAAGCTTTGGATGGCTCCAACTATGAGGAATGGAGCGGACGGATGAGGAGTGCCTTCAAACGCTACAAGCTCCTGAAGATTGCTGTTGGGGAAGAGAAGATGCCGGAAGAAGGCGAAGCACGTGAACGGTGGATTGAGAAAAGCGCGGTGCTTTTCGACCTCATTCTTCAATCGGTCAACAAGGAGATGTTCGAGCACATCAAGGATCTTGTGGAAGCGGATGATTCGGGTCCAAGGGCGTGGAAACTACTACGTGATGTGGTTCAGCCCAACACTCTCCCGATGGTGATCGTGCTCGAGAAGGAACTTGCTGCCATCTCCATGCGACCAGGGGACGATGTGAAGCCGGTCCTTGACAAGATCAAGGACACCTATGCAAGGATGGCAGCAGCGGGCAGCAGTGTATCTCAGCTGCAGCAGTGCACCAAGATCATCTCGGTGTTGGACAACTCTTGGGACAACCTCATCCCCACCCTCAACTCTCAGCAAGATCAATGGACACCTGAGTGGCTAAGGCAGCAGATTCTGCAGGAGGACTTCCGCAGACGCCATGTGGGAGGCGGTGCTGCCACTAAGACTGCTGAGGGGTATGGAGCTGCAGGGCGCAGCAGAGGAAGAGGGGGTTGGAAAGGCCGAGGCCGTGGGAGGAGCTTTGGCAGAGGTAGAGGCCGAGGTGACTATAATGAGGGGCATGGGAGCTCTAGTGGCAGGGGGAGTACCAGAATGGAGGGCACGTGCTGGTACTGCAAGAAGGTTGGGCATCCTTGGTTCAAGTGCTTCAGCAGGCCGGAGGGATGGTCACCTCCAGGCATGAAGCCGCCAAGTGGTGAACGCGCACAAGGTGGCGCTGTGCAAGGCTCAGGTGCACAAGGTGAAGGTGCACAAGGTAACGCCTATCCTGGGATGTATCTCATGGTTGAGGATGTGCATGGGCATGAGGGTGATGTGGGATCTGTGGGAAAGGTTGTGATGCACCCTCTCACGCACTGGGTGATTGATTCAGGTTGCACCAGTCACATGACCCCACGGGCAGATTTGCTTGATGAGGTAAAACCCCCTGGGAAGATCAAGTATGTGGCAGCAGCGTCAGGTGCTTTGCTCCCTGTCATTGGTGTTGGAAATGCCAAGGTTAAGGGAGCTAATGGGGAGCTTGTGGGGCTTGGGAATGTTCTGCTGGTTGAAGGCTTGTCTGCTAACCTTCTCTCTGTGCAACGACTGCAGAAGAGCAAGGCCGAAGTGACCTTTGGACCAACCAGCTGCCGTGCTAAGCTTGGGAAGAAGGTGCTGTGGAGTCTGGAAGAGGAGACCAGCTGCATCAAGGACCTGTGGCAGCTGCCCATCATCCCATGGAATGGGAAGACTCCAACAGCAGCAACGGCAGCAGTGGCAAAGGCAACAGCAGGAGGAGATGCAACTGCACCAACTGATGGGGTGCTGGAAGCAGTCAAGAAAGTGCAGAAGCAGCAGACACATGGTGAGGTGCTTGCTGGTGTGGATGCGAGTGCGGCATGGGCTAAGGCTTCATCAAGGAGTGGAGAGGCCGATTGGGAGACATGGCATGAGAGGTTGTGTCATGTGAACTTCCCTATGCTGCAGAAGTTGGTGAAGAATGGGAGCCTGAAGGGCTTGGAGGTGAAAGGGGAAGTGAAGGAGATTGGGAGCTGCCCTACATGCTTGGAGACCAAGTTCTCCAAGTTCCCCTTCAACAGTGCAACTGGACCAGCCAAGACCCCACTTGCACTTGTGCACATGGATGTGGTGGGGCCCACAAGAGCCCCTTCCCTCTCAGGCAGCCGCTATTTCTTGACAATTGTGGATGACCACACTCGGGCAGTGTGGGTTTACCCTTTGAAGAGCAAGGGGGAGGTGGCAGCGGCTGTCCTTAAGGAGTGGATGCCGAGAGCTCAGAGGGAATGTGGACACAAGGTGAAGGTGATCCGCAGTGACAATGGTGGGGAGTTCATTGGAGCTGATTTTGAGGGGGAGTTGAAGAGGAAGGGGATCCAGCATCAACTGACAGTGCCCTACAACCCGCAGCAGAATGGCGTGGCTGAGAGGTTCAACAGGACCCTGCAGGAGGGGGCACGCACTCTCCTTGGGCGTGCAGGGCTACCTGATCCGTTTTGGGTGTCTGCACTGAGGCAGGTCGCCCTTGTGAAGAATAGAGTGCTGGCTACAGTTGGGGATAAGGAGTGGATCCCATATACCAAGTGGTATGGGAGTGCTCCAGCTGTGAATATGCTGAGGGCATTTGGGTGCATGGTAGTGTTTCATGTGCCTAAGGAGAAAAGAGGGAAGTTGGAGGCTTCTGGAAGATGGGGTGTGCACTTGGGGATTGCAAAGGATCACAAGGGATGGCTTCTATGGGACTTGACCATCCAGAAGCTGACAGTGTCAAGGGATGTGAAGTTTCTTGAGTCCCTGTACTATAAGGAATGGAAGCAGCAGCAACAGAAGCTTCCATCTACACCACTCATTGTGGAGGCAGATGAGTTGCAGCAGCCTTCAAGGCAGGTGGAGGTTGCAGTGTCTGAGGAGGAGATATCTGGGGTGACTGAAGAAGGGGGAGCAGCTGAAGTGGAGCAGCAACAGCAACATGAGTCTCCACCTCGAGTTCCACACCCGCCTGAGCGACCTAGGAGGGATGTGCGCCCTCCTGTGAGGCTGACCTATGGGGGAAGAGGCAAGCCAAATGTGGTGCAGGCTGGGAGTGTGGTTGAGCAGATTGAGGAAGATGAGATCGCTCACTGCTACTGGGCACCAATCCCTGAGCCCAAGACTCGAGAGGAGGCCTTGAATGGACCAAATGGGGAGAAGTGGAAGGCGAGTGAGGATGAGGAGTTCGGGTCCCTAATTGAGAACGAGACATGGGACCTGTGTGACTTGCCTCCTGGAAAGAAGGCAATCACTTCCAAGATGATCTACAGGCACAAGTATGGACCTGAAGGGGAGCTGACCCGCTACAAGTCTAGGCTTGTGGCACGGGGGTTTCAGCAGACAAAGGGGAAGGACTATGATGAGGTGTTTGCTCCTGTGGGGAAAGGAACAACACTGAGGGTGCTGTTAGCGATAGCTGCACTCCTGGGATGGAAGATACGGCAGATGGACATTGTGACAATGAGTCCGCTGTGAAGCTCGCCAAGAATGCTTGTCTGCATGGGCTGACAAAACACATAAGGCCTAAGTGGCATTGGGTGAGGAGACTCCTTGATAAGGAGGTGCGGCTGGAGATAGTGAAGACCCATCAGCAGGCAGCAGATATTTTCACCAAGCGTCTGGCGGAGGCGGATCATTGGAAGGGCATGAAGCTTGCTGGGATGAGTGTGCATTGAGTATGCATGCTTGAGATGTTGGTATGGTGGATGATGGTTGGCAGCCAGAGGGGGAGATTGTTGTGTGATGTCATCATATGCTATCACATTCTGTCTGCCTCCCATCCCATGTTTTTTCAACTTGCATGTGTGGTTTGAATGTGCAAGCATTTGTGTGTGGTGTGTTCTGGAGTTTGGGAATGTGTTTTGTGTTATTCTGTCTGAGCAGGTATTTGTGATGATAGATCTTGAGAAGATCTTTCCGACGCAACAAGAATCGCTTCAATCGGAGCAAGAACGCGAAAGCTATGAAGATTCAAAGTTCATGAGCTTGCGTTACAATTGCGGCGGTTACTAAGTGAAGTTGTGGGGTGACTTTATATGGAGTTGGGACCTTTGGGGTTGGGGAAACTTGTCACTCTACTGTAACAGCTGCAAATTGGTTGGGAACAACCAAGCTAGGTTGGCAAGGGTGGCCAACTTGGATGGATTGGTTGGGAAGGGACAAATGTCAAAGTTGGGGTTCCTATAGGGAGGGAATCTTTGTGCTTATGGGGTTTCCTTGGTTGGGGACTCTCTTGGGACCTTCCCTCTCATCCCTCTCTTCCTATCCCAACCTTTCTCTTGCTCCTTCTAATTCCTTGTGAGATTCTTGAACTTTGATTGAACTCTTGAGATTGAGTTAAGTTCTCCTCCTACAGCTTACCCCCTAGTGCGTCGAAAGCCATAGCGTCGCGAATACTTCATCAATCAACGTGATTCAAATTGGGAACGGTAGCTGAGATCAAGAGCTACAACATATCCAAGTTTCGCGACATTCCAACGGCTAGTGTTTTGTCGACGTCGTTTCTTGTGAAGACGACTTTTCTGTCCAGAATTTCGGATTTATATTTTGAGTAATTCTAGCTCCTAAGTTCACCTAGACTCTGTCCTTAATCCTAACAGTGCCTGCATCTACCCAAGTTGCTGCAGCTTGCTCGTGTTAGTCACTCACTCACCCGTCACTTCTGTGGCACCACCGCCTAGGTCACCCAGCACTCCCGTGTCTACGTGATATTTCCCAGCACGGTCTTGTCCTAGGTCTCCCTGCGTCGCTCCCTGCCCTCCCTCCCTCGCTTGCGCCACCGTGCACGCCCTGCGTTCGAGGGCCGGCTGCGCCATGCTCCTCACTCCTCTTTGCCTCGCCCTGCCACTGCGCCACTCCAGACCCTGCACCTGGACGTCTGGTGCCCAGCCCCCGTCCCGGGCCGCGTTGAGAGCGCTAATTTCTAGTGCTTGTCGACGGCTACTCGCGATACATCACGGTGTTTCCCCTGGAGGGATAGGCCGGCGTGCCTGATGTTCTAATCCCTTGGGTTGTAACTACGCGAGTCCACCGCGGCCTCCGTGTGCCGTGTCTCCACTCCGAGTTTGCCTCCTATCGGCTTGGACAGTTTTGTCATGCAGAGGGCATCACTCAGTCGTACACCCTGCCGGAATCCCCACAGTAGAAAGGGGTTGCTGACCGTCGCATCGGTTTGGTCATGGAGGTGGCTCGCACCTACAGGATCCATGATGGTGCACCCCATTTTCTGTGGCTGTTCGCTGTTTGCTACGCCGCTTACCAGCATGACTTGTGGCCGCACTCCCAGCGGCCGCAGGTTTTGCCGACCCTTCTCCGGACCGGGCTACATGGTGACGCGTCTGCGTTCCACACCTGGGGCTGCCTTGCTCACTTTTGTGCCTTTGCCACAGACAAGCTCACTGCCCGCACTGTCCACTGTGTCTTCCTTGGTTTCCCTCTAGAAACATCTGACTGGCAATTTTACCAACCGCCGTCTCACCGCTTCTTTCATTCGCGTGACGTCAATTTTGACGAGTCTGTCTCCTTCTACCACCGCTTTCCCCATCGAGGTCTCCCGGTTTCCCGGCCCTTGCTCCTCTCCCTCCCCGTCCTACCCTGTTTGGTGTGTCTCACGTCACTCCCCTCCTGTCGGTTGTCCCGGTCGAGGAGTCGGCTGACTTTGGTGGCCTTGCGGCTCCATTCTTGCTGCATGTCTCTTGCTCCTCCTCCGCCGTCGCAGCAGCCGCTTCCATCACCACTGCAGCAGCAACGGCCGTCGTCATCACCGCCGTAGCAGCAGCTGTCGCAGGGGTCTGCGAGCTCTGGGGGTGCGGGCGTTGAGGAGGGTACTAGTGCTAGGGTTCTTGTCGTGGCTTGTCCCAGCGGTCCTGGGGGTGGCACCGGTGCTGGAGAGTGTTCTCATTTTGGGGGTGCTGGTTCTGGGGATGCTAGTCCTGGGGTTGTTGTCGTGGCTTGTCCCGGCGGTCCTTGGGGTGGCACCAATGTTGGAGAGGGTTCTCGCTCTGGGGGTGTTCGTGTGGAGTGTCCTTGAGGTTGCTGTGTAGCAGCTGAAGGTTCTGGTGTCAGCGCGGAGCAACAGCAGCAGCAGCAGTCGTTGCCGGTGTCCACCCTTCGCCTCCTCGGTCTTCCCTCCCCTGACCACCCGTCTGCGCCTCTCCCGCCGCCACCTCCCCTGCCTGTCTACGGCCCTGTCTTCCCTCCGCCAGACTCGTCTCAGGCTCATCTCCCCCCTCGTTCTCCTCCTGTGTCTCCTCCTGTGTCTCTTGTGCTCGTCTTGTCTCCCCTCTTCAGTGCTCTCAGCCTATGTTGCTTCGATCCCACGCGTCCCGTCCTCCTCTCCTTCTGTCGCCTCCTCCGCCATCGCTTGTTGTCCCTCCGCCTTCGTGCCGCTAGGCCTCCTGTTCCTCGGGTCCTTGGCTCCCTGGTTACCGACCAGTCTATTCCTGTCTCGAGTCTTGATGCGTTGTCGCTGCCATCGCTGACTTCGCCTCTACCCGTCGCCTTGACTATGCCACCGCTCTGGTCTCTGACCCTGTTTGTCTTCCGACTGTTGGGGGTGCTGCTGCCCTTGGCAGTGACGTCCTGGAGGATCGGCAGTATGAGCTTGCATTCCAGTCCCTGAGGAGTATGCAGAGCCTAGTGGTCCTTACACAGGGCTACGGCTTTAGCCTTGGCGTAGGCGCAATCTCTTGGAGGTCTACCGGTTCGTCGTCTATTGCCCGGTCTAGCTTTGAGGCTGAGATCTACCCCGGTGCCATGGCGACACAGGAGCTCCGCTGGCTGAATTTCTTGCTCACAGACTTAGGTAAGCAGCCTAGCTGTGCCACGGCCTTGTACGTTGACTACAGGGACATGATCCTCCTGTGTCAGGAGCCTCGACTAGAGGGCAGAGCGAAGCACATCCAACTGCGGTACTTCCTCTTGTGCGAGCTGCAGCAGCGACGCCAGGCCCGCGTAGTTCACTTGGCCTCAGATGCCAACACAGCTGATATCTTTACAAAGGTGCTTATGCCTAAAGATCATCAGCGGCACTGTGTACAGCTTGGTCCAGTTCCAGTGGCTCCTCACTTGCTAGGACCTTGATTGTGTACTACTCATTATATTCTCGTGACTGGCCTTGTGGCTTTTGCGCTAGTGGCCGGACTAGTAGTGCTTCCCAGGTTTGCTCTTGTCTTGTTTGTACTCTTGCTGACTGATCTTCGGACCCTTGCCTCAGAGGTTGGACTAGTAGTGCCACCCTGAGCTGTGTGTCATTTGCCAGGCACTATCCCTCATTTAGCCTAGGGGGTGTGTCAAACATGTTTGTATACGTCTTATAGGCTAGATATGTGCGTACTCTCCGAGGGTACAACCCCTTAGACATAACCACCATGTTTCCCTCATTCTAGTCAATCATTCTATGCTAAGAAGTCTTCCGTGCTTGGTCTCGTCTTTCACGAAGAAATAACGAAGTGAGATGTGCTTCGTCCTGTTCGCGAAGCCTTTTTTGTTAGCGAGCCTGATCGCTGACTATTTGTCGCAGAAGAGAGAGAAGTTCGGTAATTCGACAATCTTCACTTCTTTGAGTAGCTCGTGCAGGTAGAGTCCTTCCTTTGTAGCTGTGCAGAGGGCGATATATTGAGCTTCAGCAGATGAGAGAGCGAATAGTTCTTGCTTCCCCGAGTGCCAGAAGATATTGCCGTTAGGCTCCAGGCGGTAGATATAGCCGGTGCGGGAGTGCCTGCGGTCTTTGTCGTCGGTGTGATCAATGTCGACATAGCCGATTAGCTCGGTCTTGGTGGTAACGTTCTTGTGATAGGTGAGGCCGACCGTTGGGGTAGCAACAAAGCAGAGCAGCGCGTGATCGAGTTCCTCCAGATTCCCCCGAAACAGGTTGCTTAAGGTACGTGGTGAGCTGACTGGTAGCGTAGGATAGATTGGGGCGGCAAGTGACGGCGGCGAACAACAGACATCCAAGCTTCCGCTGGTATTCCTGGATGCCACCCGATGTGAAGAGCGAGGAGGATATCACGGGAGCCGGGTGTGCGTAGAGACAGGGTGTGGTGAAAGGCAGTGGGGCTAGTTTAAAACGGGTAGCGATGTTCTCGGCATACCTCGATGCTGAGAGATTGATGGTATCGGGGCCGTCGGTGATCTTGAGGCCAAGATATTGCGTAGCGGTAGGGGAGTCGTTGAGAGTTAGCTAGAGTGCAGCTCCTCTTCGAACCAGATGAGATGGAGGTCGTCCATCCAATATAGAGAAGATCGTCGACGTAGACGATCAGGAGCACGTAGTCACCGCTACGAGCTAGCCGGTACATGCCTTGGTCATATGGTAGCTACGCAAATCCCTTGGCGATAAGAATTTGGTGGAGGTACTGTTGCCACAGCTACGGGGCGTGCTTAATCTGATAAAGGGATTTGATGAGTTGGCAGTCCAGGATGAGGTTGTCGACGAACGCGTGAGGCTGCTCGACAAAGATGTCAGCGTCGACTAGGGTGTACAGGAAAGCCATGGCGACATCGAATTGTTGCAGGTAGAGCTTGTGGGCGGCGACAACGGTGAGCAGGATTCACAAGGATGTGTGATGGCTGACTGGGGTGAAAGCTTTGGTGTAGTCGCGTCATTGCAGCTGGTTGAATCCTCGCACCACCCAGCGAGCTTTGAA